TTTGTTCCAGCTTCTTTGCAAACTCTCCATCAAAGTTCGAGGCAATCGTTAGTATTCTCTGTTCGTTGACCAAACGACTTTTATTTTCATTTCACCTGTCCAATTTTTTTACATGAAACTCGTTGTTTCATTTCACTCGCGTTACACCCGTTTCCAAGCTTTCCAAATTTCCGGTTGACGAAATTGCCAGCGATCAGGGCAAACGGTGTTTTTTTGAAGAAAGAAGGAAGGAAAAAACCACGATTGGTTTCAAACGCTTCGAAACAGTGTGATTTAAACACGTTGGTCGTTCGACGAAACGTTCCTCGATAGATCGACGAGCAACTTTTCCCACCAAATCTACTATCGCTGCGCTGTTTTTTTCCTTCTCTCTCTCTCTCTCTCTCTCTCTCTCTCTCTTGCAGCCGGTATATGCCTCTCGCAGAAGATTTCACGCTCGACCGTCACGTTGTCGAATCGCAAGAATCAGTTTATGCAGTTTACAGAGAACATCTCGGGAACAAATTGTTGGTCGGGTTGTCTGCGCTCTCGAACGAAGCAAGTTCGTAGCGTTCAACAGTTCGTGCGTGTATGTAGATGGCGTGTTGCGAGAGGATGGATGGAAGAAGGGCTGGAGAGACGCGTCAACATGCCACCTGAGCGCTCGGACTGTCCTCCGTGGTATATGGCGAGTTGCCGAGTGACAAATGTATGTACTTACATACCTACTATTTTACGCTGCACGTATGAATACATTCGTTTCGCGCGCATTCGTTTTCAAATCGTACGAAGCGATGGAGGATGCTTGGAAGTACAACGAAACGTCGCGTCCTGTCGCGCCGCACAGAGGAACGATGGTCGAGGAATAAAACAACAATAACTGTTAATATCGAGATCTTCTTCGACCCTTCTCTAACCCTTCTCTTCGAACGAGAAAACTGATTCATTTTTCGTCTGAAAGATGCTCGTAATCGAATTCTGTGAAACTCCAACAGATACTTAGAGATTTGATGGATTTCAAATTTCACGTGAATGTTCACAGACGTGAAACTGACTTACGAGGAATTTACTCGACGAAATATCGATTCGATAGTTAGCGTCGATCGAAGGGAAAACGAGCAAACGAGTAAAAAAAAAAAAAAGGAAAATGTTGGTTGCACGAATGATGCAGGAACAAAGGAGACGCACAGCTGGAATAATCGAGCTTCTCCAACCGGAGAACGAGTTGCGTCGTTCAACGAAACGAGATAAAGTTCCCTCGGTTTAAAGAAGATCGGATCTCGCTGATCGATCCTAATCTATTTACCATTAGACAACAGCAAATGCTCGATTTAGACGAGGTTTCGAATCGAGAAACAAAAGGAAAATCGTGGACCGTGTGTGTGCACGGCTGAAAATGGGTGAAACTCGATCGATTCGAAGCCCGTTGCGTATCTGAAAATGAAATCAGCTTAGAAGCTCCCGTTCGTTTCCGCGATCAGCTTTGCCCCGTTAACGTTAAAAGTTAAAATACGTTTGTCCGACATTTGGTTTCGGATATATAGTTGTCCGAGATTGTTTGCCGTTACCGGTGAAATTTTCGCTTGTTTTCATCACGCAGCGAAGAGAAGAAAAAAGGTGGAAGGGCAGGATCGTTTCCTCCATTTCTCGTCTGGCGTTCGCGAGATCCTCTCTGCAAATGTCTTTATAAATTTTAAATCACGGCGGGAGGTAAGCCGTGGACCGATATCCTAAATGTAGCATGATACGGGAAACCAGTTTAAAAGTTTTAGCCCCGAGTCGGGCATTGAAATTCAGGCAAAGTAGAAAACGTATCGTGCAACGGAGAATCTCGACACGCAACGGGAATTTAATAAACACTAGGACCAGTCAATCTAGTCCTACGGCCGACTACTATCAACTACGTGCCGTCAATAACAACATTTATCGTCCGGATGAAAAAGTACCTTTCCTTTATTTCAAACTTTATTCCTCCCTCCTCTCTTTCTCTCTCTCTCTCTCTCTCTCTCTCTCCGTCCGATTCTAATTTTGTCGAGAGAAAAAACAAACTTATCTAATTCCAAATTCTAAACGTGAAAGATCTGATTCGATCAAACGACTGGCGTAGATCCCAAGGACTGTGAATTTTCACAAACATTTGAACCTTCAATTCAACTATCCTCTCCGTACGTGGCCTACACATATTTGACGCTGAGGATGATAGTTCTCAAAGTTGCAAATTTCTAACGGGCACGTGGAAATTTTGATAAATCTTGGCGATCCATTCCCCGCTAATTAGACTATTAGGAGTGATTCTATCGCGATACAGCCTAACCGAGTTAATTAACCAAATTCTCCTTTGTTCTTGTTACGTGGATTTTCGTGGTAGTAAAGGAGCCACGTAGGTGTATTACACCGAATTACATTATTTCACGTCGTTTCGTCGCGTGCATTTTAACCGTGCACCCGTGAAATTCACAATTAGCGGGCAAACTAGTTTCAATCGCCGAATTTCCCAGAGATTGAAGAGACTAACGCGACTATAGAGAGGCGATTCG